TTAAAATGTTAGAGAAACGAAAGAATCAAGAGAACAAACTAAGCAACAAACAACATCAACGGAAATGGCGCGGCTGGCTTTTCACTTTTCCCTTGCAACACCCACACACACACACACACAAACAAAGCCCATCAGACATGCACAGCTCCCCCGAGGGGTGGAGGGGCAGGGTGGGTAGTTAGGGGAAAAGGGCCACCATTGTTTGCTGTTATGATTTTTTATGATTTCAACAGCTTTTTTCCTGTGTCTTGGTGGGAGAAAAGGGTATCCACGAATGGGGATAAGGTTGGTTTTTGTTTGGGGAAGTAAATATATATAAATTATACAAAGTAAGCAATTATTTAAATATTAAATTAAAGTAGGAAAAAATATAAATTATACAAATATATATTTATATATTAAATGAAAGAAAGAAATTATATAAGTAATATTAAGCAAGAAACTGTTTAAATATTAAATGAAAGAAAGAAAAAATATAAAAATTCTATAAAGTAAAAAACATATTTAAATATTAATACAATTTTTTATTTTTTTAAATTTATATATTTTCCTACATAATTTAAATATTTATCTAATCCTTTAACTTTCTTTGCTTAATAATAATTTGTAGCGTACTTTTTAGCAACTTTTCATTAGGTCCTTGATAAGTGGAAACTGAGGTTTATCTATTATATTCATTTATGTCGCTTTGTTTATATAAAATGTAATATTTTAATTTTATTTGCATATATTTGCTTACTATTGATCTGAATCTATTATCATCATTATTAAATTATTATTATTATATATTATTTTGTATATTTTTACATATATGTAAATATATAAAATGAGCTGTCTTAGGCCCATTCCCTTGGCCATGACTAATTTGTATGACAAATAACCCAGCACTCATGTTCACTCTGCCTTGACTTTAAATACAGCTCTTTTGTCATTGCATTTTTCTATTCAGCTGGCAAATATTTATGGCTCATGGAAAATGATTTAAGGCATTTGTGTCTGCAGTAGCTAATAATAAACAAAATGCATGTGCTTTGAAATAGTATCGGCAAACAAAAAATTTGGGAGAAACCAGCATAGCAACAACGGAGATCTAACTCAGTCAAAAATTTGTTATAAATAATTATAAAAAATGATGTAGCACTTTAAAATGATTAAAAATGAAAAAAACTATTTGTATTTATTTTATATAAAATATAAATACCATTTTAAATAGGATAAAGGTTTTTGAGACTTTCTTAAAAAAATATATCAATATTATATACTTTCTTTAGCAACTTAAATAAATATGTACACTTAAAAATATAAAATCATAAGAAAATTCAGTTAAAAAAGAACACTTTTAAGTTTTATATTTCACTGTTTAAATATTGTAAAAGAAAATATATTTACTTTAATTATTTTGTGTATAGTTAGTGATATAATTAGAAATAAAACTATTTATAATTTAATAGAAAATTACTTTTAAATATTATAATAATTAATTAAATTCTGAAGAGGCAGTAGAGTTCAATTAGGGATTTTGATTATTATTTTATTATTATTAAAGAGGGTATCTTTGGTGCCTTTCTACTCATTTCTTTTTTCTACCATTCTATATTTTGTCTTTACTTTTTTTTTTGCTTGTTGTGCCCGTCTTTCTTGGCTTAATTTTCGCCCTTTTTGGCGCTTGGCAAGAAGAGAAAAGCGAAAAAAGCGGTGGCTGCCTGGAAAATGGCAAATGGCAAATTCAATTTGCATATGTGGCCACCCAGTTGTTGTTGTTGTTGTTATTGTTGTTGCTACTCCTTCCACGGACGCTGCCCACTTTCCTTGTCTATGTAATTTTTTAGTTTTGTAGCATTTTTATTTACTTTTGTTATACATTCATGTGGCTGCCATTTAGCACAGTTCAGGCAACTGAAGCTGCTAATTGACCCGCACAAAAATTGAGGGAACGCCATAGCGGGGGGGAAGGGAGGGTGAAAAAGTGCAAGTTGTCTTGGCCAAATTTAATCAGCGAAGCCAATGCCACCGCAAAAGCGCAATCTAAACTAAACATAGGAGCAGGAGAACAGGAACAGGAGCGATCCATAAATTCAGTTTTGAATACAGAATTACAAAAAAAGGGGGGGGTGCCATTTCCCAACCACACACATTGTGTGTTGTACTCGCTTGCATAATGATAAAAAAAAAACAGAATTGTACACAATTCGGGCTTCAAGTGCAAGCTGTGCACAGCTTCCATTGACGCACTTTCGAAACCAAGTTTCGGATTTCAGAACACGACAGACATGCACACTCGCACACCCTTACAATGTATACATATAATAGCGGGTACACTTGTCAAAAATTGTTAACTAACATCAAACTTAAAATCCAGAAATTCTTTAAAAGAGACCACTTCATTTCATTCCGGTTAGAGGTTAGAACCAGTTGGGAATTATAGTCAAATTTTTTGGCAAATTTTTTTTTTGGTCGAATTCGTCAAGGTTTTAATGAAAAAAGTAAAGTAAAAGTTAAGAATGCAACACAGATATAAAACGCCCTAAATTTGAGAAAAAATAGAGAAATGAATGCTAAAAAATTATATTATTGCTGCCTTGTCATTGAAACTTTTTCTTAAATTTAGAAAAAACATTTCTTGATCTTGATCTTAATTGCAGAAAAATGTTTATAGACGATTTTCCTAAAATAGACAAAAATATTTTTTCGAGTGTAACAAAACCCAGCCCCGCTTTGGGATGAAAGCATTAAAGCCCAAAGAGTGCAGGAAAAAAGCAAAAGCATAGCTGCTTTGCAGTCCACGAATTGCCTTCATTAACCCAAATGACACCAAACCGAAACTGAACAATCCGACTCAAGGTCTCTGACTAATGGCCGAGAATTATGAAAACCTCATAAAAATTACTAGATATTACCAAGGAATATAAAGAGAATTTCAAAGAGTTTTAAGATATTATCAGAAAGGAATTATATAACATTTAAAAATATAGACATTTCCTTAAGAGATGATGATTCCTGAACCCCAAAGCTATCATATTATATAGGAAAAATCCTAAAAATCATGTTGTACCTTAAGAACTATACCAACTAATTCCAGCGTATCCCTGGACTTTATGCCACCCCGTTTTAGCTCTTGGTTATCCTTTGCCCCAGAGTCAAAGAGCGTGTGGAAAATTCATTAAATTTCCAAGGACACAACTTTTGGGCAGTGGCGGGCGGAGTCCTTCTTCCTATTTTTTTTTTTTTTCTCTTTTTGTGCGTGGCGCGAGCGACCTCTGACATTGCATTTAATCTCGTTGACAGCACTTAACACGCCCCCAAGTAGTAAAAGGGAGCTGGTAGCTGCGGGGAAAGCTGAGCGCCACAAGGACTCTGGATTCAGGATTCAGGATTCGGGGGTGGTTCCATGTTGCTCTTGCTAGCTGCAAGCAGATTATTTAAGTTTATAATACGCTTAGGGGTAATTTTAATCTGTTGCAAATTGTTTTTGCTGTTAGCTGTCGACACACTCTCCATGGGCACACAACAACACCAACATACACACACACTTTCTGTGTGTGCTGTCAGGCCCCAAATCACCATCTATATAACATATTTTTTATCTCGTTGCGTTTCGTACTTTTGTGGCATATTTCATGGATATTGTAATCTGGTTTTTTGGTCTTCTCTTCTTTTTTTTCGAGGAGGGGACAAGTGCGAGAGCTGCGGTGGCTAAAGTTGGCTTGTAATTTCACTTTTTGGTAGAACATTTTGTACTGTTTCGCACAGCAAGAGCCTGACATAAATTGGATTTGGTTTTGTTTTCTTTTTTTTATAAGCTGATGCCGAATGTGTGTGTTCAGGGTCAGATTCTAAATGAATTGTAGGCCAGGGAATTATTTAAGAAAGTGAAACAGTGGAATGGAACACAACCATATCGATGGTTAAATAACAAGACAAGTCTTAATCAATAAGACAGCAACCAAAAAGTTGTATAAACAATTTGGGAACTATGGAATGAAACGCTAATAGTAGGGATTTTCAATAAATCGCAAGGAAATTATTAAACAAAGTGGAATGGTGAAATTATGGGCATGTCTTTTAAGTAGAATAATAGATCTTTTGTAATAGATAATTGATAATTATGGTAATTATCCAGCAACATGAAACGGTGGAATGGTTCATAATCCCAATGACAAGGAAACACACAAAACGCATCTTAGTTGTTAAGATCAGCTTGTTGATAAATATTATTGTATATTGTTTGGAAATAGTTTATAGTTAAAAAATACCCTCAATAGCAACAATTTCACTTCAGTTAAAACAATGAAACCATGGAATGGAACACGAGTGGAATGCTATAATTAAATACTGATTTTTACAGACTTTTTTTTCTGTGCAAAGAATTTCGAATCATTAATGACAAAAATACTATTTATCCACGCTTGCTTTCAAGTTCTGGAAAATCATATTTATTTCTGGAATATACAATAATAAACTGAAATATAGATCATTAGCGTCAAACTGCCGATATGGATTGCCCCTTAAAGCTTAAATGGAATGGAACGCATTCGATTATGTGGCAGAAGGCGCTGCTGGTGCCCCCCCTCTACACTACATTCCGATGCATTGGAAATCCATTAGAATATCAAATATTTAACCCAATTGAATGCCAGCCGAAGGCAAACTTAATTCAAGTTGAAAGAACAGACACACACACACACAAAGGAGGCGAATAAATAAAATGAAAAGATATTACACAAAGAACATAGTGAACATTTGCGGCACTCAGGGGAAATATTCGTTTATCGGGCCAATTAATATGCGGAATTTATTTGGAGCGGCGGCACGTCTCCAGCAATGAGATCAGCGGAGCCCAGAATAGGATCGATCGGTCTCTGCCTCTATATATCGACAACTATTTAGGCAAACAAAACAAAAAGAAACCCAAGAAAGAAACTCAACGGCTCTTGGCCAACAAATAAAATTACAAATAAAATATAATAATAATAAAATAATATTAAGAAAAGATAACTCACCCGGAGATTCCGTTACGTTACGTTCAGGTTCTGGGGTCGAGTAAACAATTTCCGGTTCCCTGGGCCGCTCACAACCGGCCTCGTCTGTCTGATCCTGACAATCGATGACATTATCGCAGCGCTTGTACAGCGACAGGCACTGGTCGTCGCACTTGAACTGATCTTCAGTGCAAACTGAGGCAAAATTAAATAAATATATACAAAATAAATATATAAACATACAAATAAAAATATATATGAAACTAGAAGTAAATTCAAATGAAATGGAAATGGAAATGAACAAACGATCGAATAGGAAGTCGATCATCTAATGTTAATGATCTCCTAGTTCTATATCTGTAACATAAGACTGCTAATACAAATTCCTTATTAAGAATTTATTTAAAAAAAAAGACAAAAAATTCTATTGATTTCTATCTCTTTCTTTTTTATATTTTATGTCTCAGTGATTTTAAAAACTTTTGGAAAGTAAGGCCAAAACTAAAAACTTTGGATTTTTTAGGGAATTTTTTTAAATTAAATATTTTGTAACAAGTTTTGAAACTTAAAAATTGTAAAATTGAATAATTTGGCATACATTTTCAGTAATATATTATCTATTATTATCTCTTGATTAATCAGAAATTTTAAAGATTTAAAACAATTTTTAAAGCATCCCAAAAAGTATGCTTCTTTTACTACCGGTTTTATTTGTTACCAAAATATAAAGTGATGCCCTCGACCTTTTAGAATTTAAATAGTTTTCTCATTAAAAATATATATATATGAATATTTAATTTTTTTTTTATAATATTTAAAAAACAATTTCATTTCAAGATAATTCCCGGCAAATATTAAATCTGACTTTACACAAAACATGAGATGTGGAACCACTATGATGATCCCGTATAAACTAAAGCCATTTACCCGTCGCAAAGCAGCCATCCTCGTCCTCGCCGTCGGGACAGTTGGACACGCCATCGCAACGCATCTCCTCGCAGATGCGCCTTCCGCTACGACTGCAGGTGAATGTGGCGTCGCCGCGACACCCGTCGACACCATCGCCATTACCAGAGCCCTCGACATCGGGATTGACGGGATTGTAAGCTTGGGGTACGTTTAGTTCCTCATCGTCATCTGTGTGGTCACAAAGGTGGATTAACACAGCGATCGGAACTGGACCCCAGGGGGTTCCCCCAGGACAGACAGACAGCAGAAAGAGAGAGAAAGACGAGCACATGGACGCAATGGAGACAGAAAGTGGAGTGGTATACAGATTCGATGATGAGCTTTTGGGACGATCACAGGTCACACACGCACGCAGACACAGTAACAAGTCTACTTTGGTTTTTATTTTCTCCCGATATATAATTTTCAACAATTTTAGAAATACTTTTAATTGAAGAAAATATAAACCCAAGCAGATCCGCAATTCGTGTTAGCATTTAGGATTGCCCAGGGGTTAAGTACAGTGGGGCAATCGCATGACTTCCGCTTGGACAAACCTTTGGGGGGGAACAGAGACTGGGCCAGACCCGGAATTCGTGGGCCAATTACATTAAAGAAGTCCGATCGCGGGGCCGCAGCCAGGCCAACGTTGCCCGGGTTTGAGCTCACCACTGGAGCCGTGTTAGTTTCAACATTCGGTGGGGTTTCCTCGTTGCCTTCTTTTTAAGGTGTTTTTTGTATATATTGTTTTTATGGATGGAAGAAAGAGTTTTGAAATCATGATTTGGACTTTGACAGGAATGCAAACCGATTGATATACTTTTTCGTTACAAGTTTTGAGTTAATTAATTAATTGTTTTTTTTTCGGTTTTCATTCCCTTTTTCCGGGGATTGGGGAAATGGTGGGGGCATTTCACAGCAAAAGCAGCGCAGAAAAAGTAAGAGAGAGGCAGGAGGAGCAGATGGACTTACCTTGCGATTCCTGGAAGTAGAAAACGTTGTCCGTGGAGGCACCCAAATTTTCGATTCGCTTGTAATCGTTCAGCTGACTCTCCAGCTTGCTCTGGAAGTCGGTGATACGGTTGGGGATCTGCAGCTTGAGCAGCACGTGCACCTTGAAGCGGTCGTCGGTGGGACTGCAAATGGGCAACGGGGTTTAATGTTAATGCAATTGTATTTGATAATATCCAAGAAATAGCCATGAACTTACTCCACTTGCAGCAGGGTGCTGTGAATATCCTGATCGTCATCGTATTCGGCGTAGGTGCGATCGAAAAAGACGCGCAGCGCGTCATCCAGGTTCTTTTGCAGAGTTTGGAAGGCAACGCTGCTGGGATCCGTGAAATCATTGTCGTAGGGCTCATTGACGGCAAAGTATGTGCGATCTAATAGGTAAATATTTAATTTTTAAATTCAATTCAATTGATTTTAACTACTCAGTTGGATTTTGATTGATTATTGGGTTACTTACACTGCGTGATCTCCTCGTCAGGCGAACCGGACGCCTCGGTCTCATCATAAACCTCGGGCGCCCGCTTTCGGGGATCAGTGGCGCGGTTGAAGACACTTCCCGTTCCGGCGCGCAGCTGGCGCTGCCTTTGGAGCTCACGGAGCTCGGCCTGCCTGCGCTCCCTGGCCTCCCGAGCCCTGCGGCGCAGCTCCATTTGGCGGGCCTTGGATGATGCGCGACGCACGCGATGGTGGCTGCGGCTGTCCTCTTCCTCAGCACCACCAAACAGTCGCGACAGAGAGCGACGGACGCGATGGACGCCCTTGCTGAACCAGTTGCCGCCGGTCTCCTCCTCCTTTTCATCGGAGGGCAGCAGGTCCTCTTCATCGGCCAAATCGTCCGGGAAGGATTCAACATCGTCATCGTCGGCATCATTGTCAATGGCCTTCAGCTCATTGGCCTCATTGTTGCCCTGCAGAAACAGGTCATCGGCGGGAATAAAGTCCAGGTCATCGTTAAAGTTGTTTATTTGCTGTAAGTACAAAAAAAGTTTATTAATTATAAAATTTTTAAAAAATTATAAGTTTTTAAATTATGTAAATTAAACATTTAATTAAAATTCAAACCATGGTTTTTCCAACGTTTTTCTATAGTTTTTCCCTCTGAAAAAAGCCCAGTCTGGGTGGTTGTCTGTGCTAAGTATAGTTATGAACCGCTGCAGTTTGGTGAGCACTGTGTCTTGGCTAGATTTTCACCACGGCAGTTGATTCAAAAAAAAGAAAATATGAATGAATAAGAATATATATCTAGTGATTTTTATCACTGCAAGTTTTGTTATCTAAACACAAAAAAAAAGACACAAAAAACATATCAGTAAAGCCTTAGGAATTTCAGACTTGGGAATGCTTTTCTTCACTTTTCCTCACTTTTCCCCCCTTTTCCTCATCTTTCAACTCTGTTTGCACCCCCACTTCCGATCTATTTTTGGCCGCCTTTTAATTGAGCATTGATTTCAAGTGTCAATTTCTTTTCATTTTCTTTCATCGTGGTCTCCCTTGGCACTATTTTCGGTTAACCCATGGGATCTCTTTGGGTTTCCTCCTCCTCCTCCCTCCTCCTCCTCCTCCTCCTCCTCCTCCTCCTCCTCCTCCTCCTCCTCCTCCTCCTCACCTTGGTTCTTGGTTCGACGCGTGTGCTACGTCATATTTCTTGTTGCCTTTTGCTGATAAAGAGCACTTGCCTTGCATGTTCAACATGTGCCACACACACACACACACCCATACACGTTGTTGCACCAGAAGAGCGATCATATCTGGCCACAAAATTGATGTTCGATGCTCTCTTTGCCCTCGGGAAGCCTTTGTCCCAGGCCCCCTCCTGCTATCTTTACACAGAGAAAACTAATCACTAACAACACAAACACACTTACACCTATGGCCAGCAAATCACTTAATTACGGGGAGGCTAGAACCAGTTGGGAATTATATGTGCACATAGGGCGAATTCGTCAAGGTTTTTATGAAATATTGAACAGCAAAAAAAAAGGGAATTCGCCTTTAAATTAATGGAATCTTTTTCTTAATTTTAGAAGAAAAACAAAAGGTATAAATTATAAAAATTAAAATAATTTGTAAGTCTGTGAAATATTATAGAAAACATTTTAAATAAGCCTTTTTTTAATATAAATCTATATTCATATATACCATTTTTAAATAATTCCTTATTAAATGAAATGCAGAATTCAAGAAAGTTGAATATATTTCTTCAAGTGTACTTTGGTTTGGCGTTGGAATTAAAGAAGAAAAGGAGTGTATGTGTTGTGCCTGTGTGTGGGAATAAATGCAATGTGGGCCAAATGTGCATGGCCCGAGCTAGAAGTTGCTTCTCTTATCGAAATACTTCGATAAACTAAAAAGATAATGGATAGACACTGGAATGGCAGGTGGAGTGGGAGAGAGGAGAGGGGTGGGAAGGCTATAAGACAAAAAATATAATAAAAACAAATAGGGGTAGTAGAAATTACACCTCTTTCAAAAATGTAAATATTAAACTTAATATTTTATATTCATAGTTACACAAAAACCCAACTGTCTCTTTGAAACCTTCTTTACATTAAATTGAAATTTTCCCATACTTTTTCTTTAGAGTTTCTAAATTTTTCCATTATTTTCCATTAGAGCTTCTAAATTTTTCCATTCATAAAAATTTAAATAAAGAAATTTTTGGTGTGTCTTCAAAAGTTTAACAAACTTTGGTGACGAATTTCCTTGGATGGTCTTTTATTTTTATTGTAGACTTTTCAGTTTCTGAGCTCTGTCTGAGTGTTGTCTACGCCGTGTCTGATTTTTCCTATATCTTCTTGGATTTTTTTACAGCGAGAACGAAGGGTGGCTGGCTTATGAAGCTGCATAGTCACGTGCCTTTGCGAGACTTTGAAGTTTGCCCCTTGTTTTGCGGCCAGTTTGTCTGTTGTGTTTAGACTGGGTGTGTGTTACACATAATAATAATAATAATAACAGTAATAATAATAATAACAAAGCTGGGCCTAAGCTATCGATAAGACATTAAAGAGTGCCTTAAATCGATGTTGCGGAGTCTATAAATGAACTTGAATTGCTGCGTTTGCTTTGGTTTTGGGTTAAACTTTAATGGTTGCTATTAAAAATATGAAAAAACAATATATGTATATATTTGTAGTAAAGAAATTGAATAAGACTGTGATTATCTATAATTTATTTGGAGAATATAAACTAAAAATGACGCTTGCCAATTGTTTAGGGCTTTGTTTTTAAGATATCTTGAATTTATTAATGGCTTGCTTTTTGTTAGTTTAATTTGGGAAAAACAGCTTAAGTTTTAATAAGTTTATAAAATTTATTTTATAATCTAAAAGTAATATTTAATTAATAATTTTGGAGTTTAAATATTAAAAACAATTGCTGCCTCAAAAAGCATATTTACCACTTTTTCTTTTAAATAAATATTACAATACAATAACATTACTATGTTAAGTCTAAAAAATTAATAATTTCGGAGTTATTTCAAGAATAAATAATAAAAACAATTGCTCAAAAAATAACCTTGCACCCCCTAATTATTCTTTAAAATAATTTCATTAATTAAAATCAAATAAACAATAATGTTTTGAGTTGAAAAATTTCAGGGGAAAAAAATAATGCCATCTGCTCTGTTGTATTCCCGCCTCAATTCCGGCCGGAGTCCAGCTGTCCGGCGGCGGACATGCTTGACACAGATTCCTATGCCGCCTGTTGTAGCCAATTTTTTGTTTCCCCTGCTAAATGCTAAATGCAGATTGCGTGGCGTTTATTGTGATTACGCCCGGAGGAGGAGGCAGGAGGTACGTCTGCCTGCTAATGCACGCGAACAGCATGGCCAGTGGCAGTGCCTGTCAAACTGTGTCTGTGTGTGTGTGCCCGCCCACAGCGAAAAATGCCAAAATATCATCAAAATTACAAAAATGCCTAAAAACGAAATGGAAATGGCGATGAGACATGAATTATTACGCATACGCAGCGTGGCAACAGTGAAAATAAATAGAATGTTATTTATGTGGATGACAACGCAATGCGTTGTCCTTGAACCTAATTGTATCTGCATCTGCATCTGCATCTACGTATCTTTGTATCTTTGCATCTCTGCCAGATTTAAGCATAAATCGCAGGCACAGGGGTAAACAAGCGTACGCCGAGTGTGCTGTCAATTGTCTCAACTTGTTGCTTAAATTGGGTCACTAGAGGCGGAAGGTCGCGGCTGCCACACACATCTACCCCAACCCACACACACCACACACACACCCCTCCCCTTGAATATAAAATAAACTCCCAAAAATCCACCCACGTGCGTGCATTGAACCCTTAAATGGACACAGATTTTTGTTTTTCTCCCTTTTTATTTTTCATACTCATTTCCTGCAAGACAAATTACACATTGAGACGGCGGCTTTGGTGGCGGCACTCCCCCTTTTGGCGGCCAGTCATAAATTTTGGCCAAAACATATGTGTGCTGGCAATTTATTTTCATCTACTCGCCGTGTGTATGTTCAAAAATCGCAGACAGCCAGCCAATTCTCGTTAAATCGATCCCGAAAAATCATGGCAAAAAACATGGGAGGAGTGCGGGGGTAGGGACAGGGACAGGGACAGGGACAGGGGGTTCAACCGGCTGACAAACCGAAAGAAAAAGTTATTGACTAACTGACTGACTGACTGACTGGGCACAATTTGTGGCCACCAGGCACGGCAGGCAGCCGCAAATAAGTAAAGCAAAAAGGCCCAGAGAAATAACAAATACTAAAATGGACATAGCTAACTTTGGCAAGTAATTAAAAAATAAATTAAAAATATATAGGGAAATAGATAAATATAAATAAATCAAATAATAAATGGTTCTTTAAAATAATAAACAATAAAATAGTCCATTAATAAAAGAGAATATAATTTTAAGCTATAGAAAGTTTTAGGCTTACAAAAGTAGACTGTATTTAAAATCTTAAACATGATTTTAAAATTATCTTCGAATGTATATGTACTTTTTGAAAATTCTAAAAAATCTTTAGACTCCAAAATAAAAATCTCCAGTCTTTAAAATATTTTTTTTATATTTAAAATTCACTTAACTTCACTTAAAAAATACCTTTAAATTCACAAATAAAACCCCCAAGATCCTGTCTTAGTGACATAACCCCAGGAAGAAGAGAGTAACAAAAATTAGGCAGACAATCTGAAACACACACACATGTGTGTGCACAACTTTTGTGTGTTGGCCACAATTATCATCGAACGGAGAGAGAGAGAGGGAAAAACAAAGAAGAAGGGTCAAGGGAAAGGGAAAATGGGGGAAAAGGGAAATGGTTTTCCGAAGCAAAGGAAATTGAGGGTAGAGACCTCTGAAAATTTGATTAAAAACTAGCTTCAAGGTAATTGCCAGACAATTTCTACTGCTCCTCTTGTACTCCTCCTAATGCTGCTCCTCCTGAACCTGTTCCTCCTCTTCCTACTCCTCCACCTGCTCCTCCTCCTCCAGATTTCTTCCTAAAAATTGGGCATACGCTGTGACATCAAGCCGTGACTCGATCTGGGTCTGTGGAGCAAGTGCAAAGCAATTGACGCCCTCGTAATCCGTAATCCTCCTCCGCTGGCAAGAGATTGCCGCCGTCAATCATCATTGCCACATGTGCCACGAATGAAAATGCAGCGAAAATGCAACGAAAATTCCATGAAAATGCCACACAGATCATCAGATCTACACACGGAGGCTCGTTCAGCGACTTGGTTACGATCCAGACTCAGCCCGGAATCCATGTCGAGTCCCGCCCGCTCAGCAGGAAATATTTAGCGATTCGCTCTTGTCTCCAAGTATCTGTGTGTGTGTGTGTGTGTGTGTCACAATTTGCTTGGCTTTAATTAAACTGTACGTTTTAGCAATTGCTTTGATTTAATTAGTTTTTCCCCCATATCTTTTCACTGTGGGCGTCAATAGAGGAGAGGCCTTTTTCCATTTCCAGCTGTCAGC